AACAAAATTTCATTGTTTCTATCTTCTTGGAAAATAAGTGAAAAATACTTACATGAGCTTAAAAAAAATTTCTCAGAGAGATTATTCTAAAATACTTTTGGAGAGAGACTTGTCAGTTCCAAAGGGTTGCACTGTAAATATTACTTAAACTATTTCCTAAGGGGATGATTTACTAAGAATCACAGGTAACTTCAATATTTATAAAATGTGCATTAGCAATTTGTTCACTTATAGTAGTTAGTATGACTTGAACAGATTATAAAATTCAACTTGAAATGAATAATATACATGCATATTAAAAGAAACTCATAATGTCCTTTTCTGAAAGCTAAATAAAGGCTTGAATTCACTGCCCAATTGCTTAAGAAATTATATCCATTCTTGTTAAGATGTCATTTGTGATTTCAAATTAAAAAAAATCAAACTATGATATATGCTAATTAAAATGGGTTCATTCTAACTGAATTTATACATGCCATTTATCTTGAAGCAAATTTATAAACCACTTAAACTTTTAATTAAATAAGCACACAATTTAATTTACCCTCTTGCATATGTACATTCTCAGCTACTCTACTCTTCAGTTCTGTGCCAGCACCCCCGCCCTCTCTGAACTGGAAAACAAACAAACAAACAAAACAAACAAACAAAAAAACAACTATACTTAAAACATTTACAGAAAGGCATGTTAGTAAGTAGTTATAGTCAACCCAACACCAAAAAATTGCTTATTAGTACAATGTATAAAAAACTACATATTTAATACTGTTAATGATCTCCAGCATCAAAGGAGAATAGTTTAAAATACACGTTACTCAAGTTAAGTTCAGAAAGTAGCAAGTAGAAAAATAGGCACAAAACCCGACGCAAGTTTCAAATTTGCAGAACCAGAACAAACGTTATGATTTCACAATTATTTAGCCAAGATTATTTTTAAAGACTGGTATGATTTATGTATTTAGTTCACTTCTTGTCACCAATTCAAACTACTGGCTTCTCACTTGACAATCACTAATATTAGTAGTGAAATCTTTCACCATTCTATGCAAGATATATCTTTATAGGTCATCAATTTTCCCCTTTCACTCCCCTTAAGAACTAAATCAACATTAATAAGAACAGTGAGAATTCTAGGGTAAAGTGAAACTTGGAAGAGGATTTAAATAATTCCAATAGCTATTTATCATGCTTCTCACTATAACAGATAAGTAATACTCCATGATTCCATATAAAAAATACTTAGGTTTCTTATTATTGTTATTCTGGGTCATGTGTGTACTCCTTAAGTTTGTATGACATCTGCAAAGAAAAGTGGGTATTTTGCCTAATAGAAGCTTTTGCAATAGTAATATGGACAACAAAGAATTAGTTTCCAAGAAAAGTTGGCTTGATTTCAGGGACTTCATATCCTTTTCCACACCTGGGTTTAGGATTTGTGCTAGGCAAATCAATCTTTTTCCCTTAATTGAACCAATCCCAAGTGCATTTGTAATCACAGATTTTAGTAGTATTAGACAGTATTACTAGAATCTGTATAATCAACTGTTTAAAAATCTGAATTCTCAGTGTAGAAAATTCATTAAAATAAGGTAAGCTTGTTTAAATTTTCAAAGAAATTCACTGTTTTAAAGTGTGGCAAGTAGCTACTTCAGGGCCCAAAAGGGTAGAAAGACAGTCATGAAGTAAGTGTCATATTATCTGATAATTTCATAAACTATTTGTTGAAATGGAAAAAGAGAAAGGATTTTTATTCTATGACTATTTGCAACTTTCCAGTCTGACCTTTTTATACTATCACTGTCTTTTCCTCAAATAGAAGGATAATGTAAGTGGAATGATTTGTAAAGAGCTTAAAAAAATCCTCAATATCTAACTAGCTTCAATTAAAATCTAGAGCACCCAAAGGACATAAGTCATGCATTGTAAGGCAAGAGACCACAGAGCCAGAATGAACAAACACTTGTGCAACTACGGTTTATCACCACTAACTTGCATGAACATATGGTCACTGAAGAGTTTATTTGAAATTCAAACTGCATCTAAGTTCTATTTTCTAATTTGGTATTTAAAAAAAAACGTATTTTGTCTAGTTAAAGGTTGAAAACATAGTGCCTTTTCAACCCTATTTCATTTAATACAAATTTGTCTTGGGGGGGGAAATATTGCAAAAGCCTTTTTTTTTTTTTTTAACATACAGAAGGCTTTCAAGATTTAAAAATAGCAAAAAATGGGTTGTTTTTTCACCTATAACAAAAATAATATACTCTTACCCTGGAAAAAAATCGGGTGTTTTTTACTTCCTTTCCTTCATATATTGGTCAGAATTCATCCTTGGAACTATCAAACAACAGTGAAAAGATATTTCTAAAACTGATGACAGAACTTAATTTATAATTTAAGATATATGGCATCATTAAACTTCCACATTAATAGCAAAAATTCTAGCATTTATAAAATTATACTGCAAAATCATAGCAACATTGTATTTTTATTGTGTTGCAAACTGACTTTCAATCATACAACAAAAAAGAACATACCTAAGTGTCACTATGGGTTGCAGGGCTGTAGCATCAGAGCAACTATTCCTCCTGAACCACTGCCTAGCCCCCAAATATTCCATAAATTGAAGAAGAAAAGTCTTAGGACTAGGCCTACAGAGTGTGATTCTAGATCCAGAGACTATATCCTATATTCTTTTTTTCTAAATTGTACAAAATAAAAGAGCCTATAAGCAACTGTCTATTCACAAAAAGCACTGATACTAGAAATTGCATTTATTTTGTCCTGGCAACTAGAATTTCAAAATATTATTTTAAATAAACTTAAAAAGGGGAAAAAAAGAAAAAGAAGAAATCGAACTCTTGTGAAGAAATACATAAGAATATCTGTCTTTGCAAAAATATTTCTGGGACATTTTTCATTTAGGAAATGGTATGAAAAAGGTTTACTGTTTTCAAGTCCTTGAAGCTTAAAATATATTTGATAATCTAAATAGCAGGCCATGGAGAACAGTTTCAGCCAACTGTGGCGCACAATGGCACATTTACAGAATTTTAAATATTTCTTTTAATAATTGATGTAGTCATTTTGAATCATTCTGCATAGGATATCAGGTGTGAGCAGATTGCATTAACGCTGCTTAAACATTTCAACTTGTCAGTATGGCCAACTCGATTTCGGAAATATTTGCAGTATTTTCCCATCGAAACAGTAATAAAGGCAAAATAAATATATGCCACTACTTTATAATCACCGAACATTAATGAATATTTTATGTCTTTTTAAATCTCCCTGTTTAATTTAAAAGGGTGAAATTAAGTCTCCTCCCTGCAATATGCCAATTATCTGTAAATCAAACAATAACTTGGCCATTATGCTCCTTTTTGTTAATATAAGAGAAGCTAATTTGAAAACACTGAATGACATTTTTAGACTTTCAGTTTAATAGTCCTTTCTGCCCTCTTGTGGGAGAAAGTTGAAACACACTCAAACTATAGAAATGTTAAAAAAAAAAAAAAGTAAAAACTCTGGCTATAAAAATTTCAATCAGAAAGAAGAATAAAGCAGTGTGTATTTATCCATCATACACTGTACTAGTCTTCAATTTAAAAAAGTAAATCAACAACAAAATGAAATTTACTTTGTATTATTTTTGCTTTTCTTGATTAAAATGGAGTTGTTTTGAAACTAAATTACCTTATTTAATTACATCCAATATAGAATTTAAATTTACTACCATGAAGTTACCAGACTAAATCTGGTATAGTGCCAGAGTTAAACATTATTTCTAAAGTAAAAGCATCAATGATTCTCTAAGGAATTGAAAATTTAGAGACTAGAACACCCATTATAGAGGTTAAAATGAAATGCCAACCAATATGTTTAAAATCCTGGGAAAAAAAATCAAATAACTCAAACTTATTATTCAAAGTAAGGGTCAAGAAAACTTTTAAAAATTTTAGTTACTAGTCAACAAACTATTCAAGTGATAAACAGAGAAAATAAACTTCAAACAATGAACTACTTATGGCAAATTCAGAAACTGAAATTCATTGACAAAACATCCACAAAGGAAACCATTAATAGTCTAACCACTACTAAAATAATTCATATACATCTGAGAAATCACTGGGTGAAAACAACTCATTCTTTTAATATGACATTAATAATTATCTTAAGCAATACAGACCAAGAAAAAAAATTATGAAATAATCCAAGATTAAGCATAATTATCTTTATAAAAATATTAGTAGACAAATGATTGTTGTCTTCACAATTAACAAGACGTAATTGTCATAATCGTCATCTCAGTGTTTCTAAATACAAGCCCTGTCAAAGCCTTATACATTTTCCCCAGACGGAGATAAATTACTGGCTTTTAAGTGGGTGGGGCCACAGGCAAAAAGGTACCTTTTCTCTCTTGGGGGCGGTTCTTTTTTGAAACAGTGGCCCTGGTTGGCCATGTTAAAGAAAATATTGACACTATATCTCATATATTCTAAGCTAAAAACTGACAGTCTCCAACAGCATCTCACGAATACTGCCTAATGTTGGGATTGAGCTACTAAAGAAAAGCCTCCTCAAACTCCTTTTGGAAAAAGGCAGTGTACACATTATAAATAATATATTTGAGAGCAACCTTTCAAATAAAATATAGGCATATTTAAAAATGCATGCTGTCAACAATTTCCAAATTAATATTTTGACTTACTACTACAAAACCATAAAATACATTATATAACAATGAGTAATTTTTAAGCAAGGTTTTAAGTTGACTATTTTAAGATTTATCAAGAGCTCTCATTTATAACATCTATTTTTCTAGGTCAAGTCGTTTAATAGATCTACAGTAATCATTGATGCTCCAGTTAATTAAAATTAAGAACCCAATAATGAAACATAAAGAGAGTTTCCAACTAGAACAGATAAGCCCTCTTTAACAGGGTCAACATTAGCTATAATGAGCTACCTTTATTCCTTAGCTGTGAGACATAACTCACCTCTTGAATGGTACTGCTTCCTGAGAAGTTCAGGTTGTACTCCCGCTGGACTTCTCGGTGGGTGATGATCAGCATGAAGTTTTGATTTAATGATTCCTGCAGGGCACTGAAAGGGTTGAAAGAAAAACAAGGAACTCTGAGATGAACATGTTCTAGCTTGCTTTACAGCTAGCTGCAAAAACCCCAGGAGTACCATAACCTCCACACAGGCATGTCCGGGCCCAATGTTATCATCTTTTCAGCTCCTAAAGGCAAGAGAGGATGCAAAGAGCAACCAAGGGGAGCTAACCTGTTAACTCCTTCTCTACCAAGGTGTTTTTAAATTTCAATTCTAAACTCTGTGTATACATAAGAATTTTCTAGAAGTCATATGCATATGTATTTCCTCCGAGAGAACCAAATTTTTTAATTATACAAAATTCCAAACATGCTACTAAGATGTATATTCAAAGACTCTGGTTCAAATCCAAGTAAAATATAAAATATTATTTATCCTCATGAATATTGTATAAGAATAGAAATACGGTTTAACTCAAAATTCAGAAAATACTGAAATCTACAGAACTTTAACTGCTATATCAAAATTACTTCAAAACATCTGTGCTTTCACTTAGAACTCAGGAATACACAGAATTTAGAAATTGGAGAATTCAGAACAACATTAACCAAATGTTAGAAATGTGTCAGAACCACAAAGAGTAAATGAAATTAACCACATAAATTAAGAAACATAAGTTGTGGTTCTATTTGTTTATGACAATATTAAAAAGCACTATCAACACTGAAAATAAAAATCTGCCACAGTTGTGTATAAATAATCTATACTGGCAGGCTTAAGTATAATTGTCCCATGCTTGTAGAAGTGGGGAAATAATTTGGGTGTGCTACACAGTTTTGGCCTTCATTAATCCTCCTTTGCTATTCTATAACTATGCAATAAACATACATGCAACATACGATTAGGATTAAGAAGTTAATTTTCTCTCTCATTGTCTCTCATAGAGTTCCCAGGTTAATTACAGACTAAAAATACCTAGGAAACACCAAAATACAGCATGAAATATTACTGATCAAAATCAAAGGAAATGATATCCAACTAAAATAGAATTTCTTTAGGCAGAAAGCTTTGTCACTGCATCCTTAGCAGTTAAGCATAATGCCCGTCACACGGTAGATAAATATTTATTGAACAATGAGTAAATTGTGAATTTCCAGAAGGCAAGAGTCTTACTCATCTTTGTATCTCTGAAAGCAATGTTACTTTCTGGAAAACTACCAGGGGATTAAGATTTTTATTTTGATTCATGTCTTTCAACATTAAGTCAATGCCTTGTATTATTCCAGGCATTAAGGAAACCAACCCAAATACACAGGTCCTATCCATAAAATACTTTACAATCTAAGAAGGGTAGACAGATATATAAATAGCCAGAGTAAAATGTAATAGATACAACTGAGAAATTGAAAAAAAAGTGAAAGAGGGGAATGGTTAGGGAAAGCTTCAGAGGAGAAGAAAAATGCAAGTTGAAATATGAAGGGTAAGTAGGACCTTTGTATTTATCATTTGGAAGGCATGAAATTTTTGCTTTGTTTGGGGAAGAGAGAAGGGTAGCACTTTTTAGACAAGAAAATAGTAAGTGGAAGAACATAGCATGTTCATTCACTCAGTTAACATGTATTTATTGAGCACCTATGTACATTTATGACATTGCTCTAGCTGCTAGGGATACATAGTGAACAAGAAAAATATGATCCCTGCTTTCATGAAACTTACATTCCAGTAAAGAAGACAGACAATAACCAAATAAATGAGTAAGTAATTTGAGAAAATACTAAGTGCTGTGAAGTAAATAAAATAGGATTACAATTAAAAAGGTAACAGAAGGGCAGAGTGAAGGGAATTATTTTCAACAGAATAGTTAGGGAAGGCATCTCTGAGGAAGTGCCATTTAAGTTGAGGCTGGTATGATAAGAAAGAGATAGCAATAGTCTGATCATGTAGGTCCTTGCAGACCACAGTAAAGAACTTGGTATTTATAGTAATTGCAACGGAAAGCCACTGGAGGTTTTACACAGGGAAATAGTTAAGAACTGACTTACATTTACATGTATACAATATTATTCCAGCTGCTCAGGCTATGGTGAAGAAAGAGTAAAGGCTGGGACAGCTAGGAGACTTAGGAGGCTTGTCCTGGCAAGAAGTGGTGGTGACTTGGACTACTTTAGTAGAGGTAATAGAGGCAAAGAGGGTGAAGTGTTGTCAGGTTCAGATATCTTTTAGAGGTAGAAGCCATACAAATTACTAATGGAATAAGAGAAAAACATAACCCCAAGTTTCTGGCCTAAGCAAATGGAAGGATGAAACTGCATTCAACAAGGAAAACTGGGGTAGGAACAGGTTGGGTGGGGAAATTAAGAGTCAAGTTTTGGATATATTAAGTTTAAGATGCCTATTACATATCCAAAAAGAGATATCATGTACATCTGTACAGAGGTGAATGTCAACAAACATAGCTCAGAGCAGGAGAGTTCACAGCACAAAGAACATATTCAGATTTTGTGAGAAAAAGAAATAACCTAGAGAAATAAATTGTTTAGAGAAAAGGAGAGAGGCCACAATGGAGACCTGGGCATTCCAATCATTTGAAATCAAGCGGAGGAGGAGTCAGAGCAAAGGAGATTGATAAATGGTCAATGAGATAAGAGAAAGACCAAGAAAGTCTAGTATAAGTAACTGTTTTAATTAGGAGAGCATGAGCAATTATGCCAAGTGATACTAAGATATTAAGTGTAGTAAGGCCAGAAAAATCACAATGTTGAGGAAAATTATGAAAAGTTCATTACAACCACAATAAAGGATGTGTGAGAGGAGTGTCATGAGGCTCAAACAGTAGGTTGGGTTAGTTTGGTATTTGTATATTAAATGAACTTGGGGTCAAAAGTGGCAAGTAATGAAAAGCCTACTTGGAATTTCAGGGCCTTTCATAAGTAGACCTACTTGCAACTATTCTCCAAGATTTGGCTTTTGCTCTAGAGTTTGGCTAACTTCTCATGTCATGGCTAACTTCTTCACACGATACTCAATTCAATCTCTGTTCACGTTGTTCTCATCCCCTTTCGCAACTATCCCAACACTGCACAGCTTTCAGACCACCTCATGGCCTACCACTTGTATTTATTACAGACTCCCTCTTCTCTGAATTCCTTTATCATATAATTCATTCAATACTTAATAATAGCATATTCTGTATAGTTTGCTTTGTTTCATGTATGGAAGTCCTAAATTCAAGACTATAAGCCTTTTCAGGATAAATATCTTATTACTCATCAGTATTTCCCTTGGCAACTAGCATATTCAAAGGTGATTCAATCGAATCCTATATACAATTAAGGAACAGTTCTGCACATTCTGAACTGTATATAGCTGCATATTTTTTGAGCCTACCTGTGAAGTGCCATTTTCTTCACAAAATTGTGGTTCAGAAAGGTTAAGTAATTGCCCAAGGTCATGCAGCTACAAAAAGACAAAACCAAGTTTCTAAACTGTATTTAATTCTGTTCTTTACAGCACCCTATCTCCCAAATGGCTGGGCTGCTTTAGGGATACAAAGATAAATAAGACTCCTGCCTGCTAGAAGTTCAGAATTCATTCTTCCTATAATTATTTGATTCTTATTATTTGTAACAGTCAGGACAGACTAGTCACAGAATTTAAAAAAGAGTTGTGAAGATTGAGAAAAAAGGAGACAATACTCTAAAGTAATATGAAGAATGGATAGTGATTTGACAGGTAGCTATGGAGGATGATTTCAGGCATAGACTAGTCTGAGCAGAGATGGAGACTGGAAAATATAGAGAAAGATGTAGAAGGCAATGAGGAAGAAGTGTAAGGAAATGTGAAGAAGGGTTTGTGAAAAAGAAAACTTAAAAAAATTAAAGACCACCATTATGGGGCTACAAATGAAAGGTAAGAAGCTCAGAATTCTATAATTTTGATGATTACATAGATCCTTTATCTTTACATATGAATGTATACATATATTTAATACCTTTAGTGCTTGCTTTTATGCAATTCCTTAGATATGTTTCTTGATCTTGATTGGCAGACTTGTGCAATAACTTCACAAAAAGGTTTGCCAGCATGAGCATTAACCACCAGACTACTTTAGAAGATCACTTTTGGGGCATCTAAGTGTCTAACTCTTGATTTCAGCTCAGGTTATAATCTCGGGGTCTTGAGACTGAGTCCTGTGTCAGGCTCCACACTGGGCGCAGTCTGCTTAAGATTGTCTCTCCCTCACTCTTTGCCCCTCCCTCCCTCTAAAAAACAAAAAACAAAAAAACAACAAAACTTCATCACTTTAGTCTAGTTCTAAAATTTCTCAATAGTCCTGGCAGAGGTTAAGTTGGCCAGAGAAAATATTTATAGCTTTAAACTGCTTGAAAGTCATAGAGCCAGATTTGAGTCCCTGCTCCACTACTTGCTAGTTGTTTGATTTTGAAAAGCCAATCATACATTAAACATATTTGCTGAATGTCTACCACATAAGGCCTCATTTTAGGTACTTAATTATTCTGTAAATTCTCGGTTTCCTCTTAAGGAAAAGGATATTAATCCTTCATAATACAATGAATATTAAATTTTAGAAAGCTAAGCAGAAATTTTTTTTCCAAGTGGAAATTTTTATTGCATATGAAATAGAACATTTTTGAGTGTTCTTAAAATAATAACAAAACATTAATAAGAAGATCTATAGTGTTTTTGTGGCAGTTATTTTTCATTTTTTAGTTCCATTCCTCTACAGGAGTTCATAGAGAATAAAACTTTTTTTGATGCACTGAACATAATTATATATTATGCCTAATGTTATCCAGACTCACTCACAGTGTTCTTTTTTACACAGGTCTTGCTTGGGGTTGATATACCCCATTCACACTCCTTGTGAGAATGGTTCATCTGGAGGATTAAGTATTATCTGTGACCTGACTCATTTCCTTAGCCATTAAGAATGATGGCTAGCCTTTGATGAGTGCTACCACGTATCAGGCATTAAGAACTTCATGTCAACTTTATGAAGTTATGACTATCATTTTTCATTTTACAGA